TTTTCTTATAGTTAGGCAATTAATTACGCCAATTACAAGGATTTACAAATAATAATTTAATAGGATTACCCAAGTGACAAAGTTCTACATTATAGGTGCATAAAACAAGAACTGAATTGACGTATCCAGGGATAGGGGTTTGTTTTTTGTATGTATGTGTAAGAGTAAGTGAATGTGAGTATGTTATCGTTTTTAAAGGTGCTAATTAGGGCTTTTTTAAAGACGGGGCGTGAAAGAATAAAAATATCTATGGATGATATGAAATAAATATACATTCATTAGAAAAATCTTTGACCCGGTTGGAAGAGATCACACGACCTGTCGATTAAAAGTAATATTGCCACCAGTACACTAACAAGCCCTTCAAAAAAACTTCTAAATAAAGCACTTTTTCACTGGTTATTTCATATATTTGGTGTTTTAAACCGTTAAAAGTATTTTATTTGAATTGCAAAAACGTAAAACATTCGGTTACATACGTAATGCTTTTTTAAATGAAAACGCTGAAAAAAGTGAAAAATCCACGAAATTTTACCCGCTCTAGCAAATGTTCACGCGAGAAATTCTTGTTAATTTAAAACACCAAGATTAATTTCTGAACTTTTAATTCCGGCGAACTCGAATCGGCAAATATTTGCGTAACATATTCGTTAAGCGCAAGTAGTGTGCAAAACTCCGAAGTTGATCTTTCCGATATAAATTTAAGTTGTTTAAGTACGCCTACAGTTTGAACAGAGATCGCAATTCGTAATAATCGCACATTGTCTTACACGAGAGATTGTCTAAGAGCTCAGATCCACCACGCTGATCCAGTGCAGCTTGGTGGGCTTTAACGACTACCGCCAATAATTAATAATAACCATTATCGACGGCTTAATGTTCACCTCCTATGTCCAAGCTTCGGTACCTATAGATTTTATTTTACTTATTTGTGAGATCAAATTAAACCAGATTTAAACCCGGACTTTTGTTTTATATTGTATGATAGATGAGAATTACTAAAATATACTAAGATAAGGCCGCCTTTTATTTATAGGTCAGTACGTAAATATTTCTTCTCATGAAGTATTTTGTTTTGTAGTATATAATTAATACATTTTTCTGTCAATTTTGTTAGACTGTTATTAACTTTATTTATTTAATGTCTCATTTATTTCTTCATCTGTTATAATTAAATTAAGGATCTTAGTTACCCGTGAATGTGGCCCTCGTAGTGCGGTTGGTTAAGTAGGGGCGGGCTTGTGCTCCGCCGCCAGCATGCTATCAGCTGCTCGGTGCAGCCATCTTGTTCGTAGGTGCCTGCACTCACCTCCCGGCGCCTGCGCAGAAACACCATATAAGAAAATAACTAGTATTTGTATGATAGAGGATGACAGACAAGCGTGGTATTCTCTGATAATAGTTGAAAAAACCCAGCTGTATACCTAACATCTAAACATTTAAGCTGTAGATATTATAATTAGAGGTAAACCATTTACTTTATATTTACTCTTATGGCTTTAACAAAAAAGCTCATCGCATGTAAGTACTGCCTAGTTTACGCCCGTAGTACTCACATGCAATGATTTAAATATAACACTTTTAACGGTTTGAAACGCGAATTATATTAGTTAATTGACTTAATTTCTTTAACTACAGCCCGACGTTTTATTTAAATTCTTGAAAGTAATACTTTGATATACACTAACGATACCTTATAAAATCTCCGTTCTATGGCCCAAGCATTAATTTGATGATTGACGGTACGATACAACAAATTAAAGCTACAATACCATAGTAAGCTAAAAGTGTTTATGCTTTCAAATTTAGTTGCTTTGACGTCCGATAGAGGCGCTGTTCAGGTTTTTATATAAATTGCCATAAACCGATAACTCGCAATATTCATATTACATTACAATGTAATGTAATATGAATATCGTTGGTCTAATGGTAGTATGTAATGTATGGCTAATAATCACCACCGGGTCCAAGATGTTTCTATTTTTTCTGAAATATGTTGAATGTCATCTGGAAATCTGAAAATTAAATGGGTGGTAGGAACATATAAATATCGTTCGGGTCACGAACCACCGTCCACAGATTAAAAAGCCGTAAAGCTAATCTCGTTTCGGTTTAAATCTGTGGATTTCCGAATATCCAAAGCCAAAATGGGTCGACAGCGCATCTTGTTTAGATGGTATAGAATGACTTACCGTCAAATGACCACTATGCTTGTCTGTCCTCCCCGATTTAAAACACTGGGCAACTACTTCATTTGCCCAGTGTTCACGACAATCAGAAATTTCGTTCAGCTCATGAACGGTTTTTATGTAAAACGATATAAAGGTACATTTACTATCGACGACTTTCCGAGGCGTGGGTCGTGTTCAGTGTGGCGAAAGCCTCACACTCGTAACAATAACAGCAATATTTCCGTGATTACTAACACTTTATAACGTACGTAACTTTAGTATCTTAACTCCCTGTAAATAAATGGCAATGACGATAAACCAGTGGTTTATTTTAAAAACTTCGCTAGAGTCGAGAGCAATTAAATCTTATTTATGGATATATATATAGCTGAAGAATTTGTTTGTTTGAATATCAAGAACTACAGATTCGAATTGAGGAAATATTTTGTGTCTGTTGGTTTTTTTATTATTTATCGAGAAAGGTAAGCTATAAAACATTACGCAAATGTGGGAAAAATGGAGAAAACAATTAACCTTTAAGGACGTCCGTTGCGTGCTCTATAAAAGGATACCGTATATCGTTTTTAAAGAACCAAAAAAAACTTTGAGAAAATGATTCTACTTTAAATTATGTTAAAAAAACGGTCGTCACGTGCTTTGACATCTTTTAAAATTAACTCATAATTAACGACATAACCGAACGACGTCGTGGGTAATAGCTATAAATTCTAAGGCTGAAGAGGTTATTTGCTAAAATAAATAGTATGATAAAAGAACTATTCTACGGAAACAAAGTCGCGCGCAAACTTAATATATTATACACACAAAGTATACGCATATATTGTGATAATGTTATATAAAATAATGCTAACGATTTCAAACTAGTTCACTATAACAAGAGCAACAGCACGGAACGCTGACGATGCCGGTTCAAGTCCTGCCAGAGTCGAAAATTTTTCAATTTATTTTCTTTTATAAATGATATAGTTACCTACAATCTAGCCAGAGGTTCTGTTGCTGTCATGTCTAAAACGTCGGGTTGTAAGCAAACATACATACTAAACGACATAAGGCGAGTCTTGGCCTTTAAGATTAAAGAGCATTAAACATACATTGACTAATATATATCACGCTTTAAGCAGTCAAAAGTGTATTGAATAAAGATTGTTGATTAAGTGTATAAAGGAAAAGTAGGATAGTAGAATAAAGTTCGGGAAAGACTATTTTTACCGGTAAAAGCACTAGCAAATGCCTGTTTGGTTCTAAAAGAAATTTAATTAGAAGTCGGTAATGGCGTTTTCACGCATGACCGCTCGCCACAAAGAATGGAGCATACTTTTTACAAAGTATAAAGCAACTTTGACACTCGCTTTTTATCCTGTGGACGTAAAATCTCGCATCCTAATAGCTTTGTAATTTTTTTCTTGCTTATTATTTAATATGTATCTCTAAAGCGTCCATCTAACGTAAAATATGTATACTAAGCTGTATATTAAATTGCGTTAAAAACCATATTTCTTCGAAACGGCTTGACCGATTTTTATGAAATTGTATATGTTTATTCAGTAGCTCTGACACTCAGCTAGTATCTACTTTTCATACTACTAAGCAATGGGTTGTACCCCAGAGATTTCTTTGTAACAAATGTTAATGTTTATAGAGTGGAATTAAAAAACTTATAATGCTACCATTCTTCTATCCTCCTCTGTAGCTAAATGGTTAAACGTATTGCCTAGCATTACGTCACGCGAGAGGTTCTAGGTTCAAATCCCAGGGAAACAAATTGTTTCAGTCGGGCAGGGCACAGAAGTCTGATCAACCACTTGCTAAAGAACGGATCAGTGAAACGGACACAGGAATGTGTTCGCGAAATTCCCCTACGAGGGGAAACTGGATTTCACACACACACTATCACCTTCTATCACCACCTATTTAATAGTTATTTTAGTTTTTTTTATATTCTTGTATCTTCACAATACACTTGATGCTTCTTTTACCCATATACTCGTTCTCCTTACAACAGTTTTCTGCTTTGAAACCAATATCGAACTGATTGATACAAAATACTGTCTATAGTTTACGCGAGTTTTAACCTTACGTTTAAAAACAAAGAAATGAATATTTTGTTAAATCTATATTATAGTAGTTTCTTCTTGGTTCGAGTTGTTACAAACATTTAAATAAAACACTTTAACCGTTTCAAATGCGATAAATTAGTTAAATTTATTTGAAAACGATTTTTAACTACGGCCCGACGTTTCGGATGCTTTGCAGCAGCCGTGGTCACGTGGAGACACCAATATATCGCGTTTTAAACCGTTAAAATGTTTTATTTATATGATTTTAACAATTCGAACCAAGAAGCAACTACTATAATACAGATTGAACAAAATATTAATTTGTTTATTTTTAAACGTAAGGTTTCGTGTCTATTGTTAGATATTAGTCGCATAAATGTCGTTGAACAAAAAAAGGTTGCAAATTTAAAATTCAACAAGATTGTAGATAACCGACACATTAAAAATTCTCCACTGAATAATCTGTAATACATTCTGAACTGGAGAGCTATGTGAAAGAGAAAATCAGGCATATTCCCTTTGATCAAAGACAAAAGTGCACGTGCGCGACTCTATTCCCGGGGGGTAAAGGTTAAAATACAACGCCAGCCCCCCCGAGCTGCGTAATTCATTCAGCATTGTTCCCATTACTGCTCGCCGTTCGAGGAATGTTCCATTATTCCCATAGAACTCCAACTTACACATGGATCCGCGGTCACCGCTTCACATCGCGCCAGAACTGTCTCGTATCACAAATCTCAATTCACAAACACTACGCGCCGTTAGGGTTTCCGTAAGGTGTTCCACTGTCACTTGGGGCTGCAAGTGCTTGCGGACGCGGGCCGGTTGAAGCGGGAGCACAGTGCGAAGCTCTCTCGGTCCAGCGCTGAAACACGACAACCTCCGTCGCAATGACGAAACGGCCGGGTACCGCGCGCGCGCTCTGCGTCGCAGCCTCCCGACCCTCTCCGACCGGCTGCGATGTCCCCCGACGGTGGGGTGAACAAACCCTTCTCATTCTAACACAGTGGCGAGGTTAAAAAGGATTTAGACTTTTGCACGGCGTTCACGGTTCTATCGGGAACGAATTCTGGATCTAAATGAGTTTTTTTATGGTCCTGCTGCTGCTAAACCAGTTAGCAGACTTAGCTCTAAGTAAGTTCCAGTGCTGGCCTTGACGCAGATGACGTCAGAAACGTAACTATACTAGCTGTTACTCGCGTCGTCCGCGTCACATCGCGTCGTGCTTGCGAATCTTAAATATGTTTTAAGATTCGCAATTACATACATACATATATTAAAAGTGTTTTATTTATGCTTAACGTCGCGTAAACAACGATAAATAATATTGATTATATGGGATTTGTTCTTACATAAGAAAATTATTTTTGTCTATGTTTAATTATTATTGTATTTAATTAAGCAAATAAAGTTGTTGAAATAAAACACTTTTAACAGTTTAAAACGCGAAATGTAATATCTATGTATTGTAACTGCCTCACGTTTCGTATACTTTTCAGCAGCTGTGACCACGGGGGCACGGTTAATGTAATAGATTTAGCCTTTTAAACCGTTAAACGAGTTTCATTTAAATGTGTACAACTCGCGTACATAAACAATACTTAAATTGAATTGTGAATAATGGGCAAGCCGGCAGGCCTTGATCGAAAACGATTAAAATGCTACAAATTGATATCCCTGGGAAAACGACAGATGACGTCCCGAGCAAAAACACCTCGCTGGCATCAACCCGCATCTAGGTACGAGGCATCGTTACTCATTTTCACAAAACTTAATCCAATTAAGCACGCTATGTTTCCACTATAAATGAATGAGTTCCGTATTTGCTCAAATAAAGCTAGCTCAGATATAAAACAGAGTTAGCAGTGCATTATTTATAATGCTTTGAAATCCACCGAATGTTCTATAATAAAACTTTTTGTGAACGAATTCACTACATTTCTCTAACTTATTTATATAATTAAAACAGGTATAATTAAAACCTTGTTATACATACGTTATGAGGAATAGGGGATGACACACTTACACGTCTATTTGGTTTATGTAGAAATAGGCCGACAGCGCATCGTTCAACAAACAACCCTATAATTAGCATCCGAAAAAATTGTCTTTTCTCCTCTGCCGCTTTGAATAATATATCGCTTTTAATAAAACACTTAAACGGTTTAAATAGTGATATACATATATTAATTTACTTATTTACAATCAATTTTAACTGCGGCCCAATGTTTCGGATGCTTTGCAGCCGTGGTCGTGGGGGACGGATAAATTAACTAATATATTCCGCATTTTAAACCGTTAAAAGTGTTTTATTTAAATGTGCTCTAATTTTAACCTACAGACAATACTGAATATATCGATTTTCAGCTGGGTTTCATCATAATACGAACTTCCGCAAGCTAGTCTTAAGCTAGTAATTGATGGGTCGACAGTTCAGTCCTCACTGGGTAAAAATGTTTTTTATAACATTTTCTGACATACTGTCTATAGTTTACGCGAGTAGTACACATTTAAATACAACACTTTAACGGTTTAAAACGCGATATATTATTAAAACTTATTTGGAAATCAGTCTCCCCGTGACCACGGCTGCTGCAAAGCACCCGAAACGTCGGGCCGAAGTTAAAAATCATTCCCAAATAAGTTTAACTAATATATCGCGTTTTAAACCGTTAAAGTACATGTACTTCGAATTATCTGGGTAATAAATGGGTGGCAAGAATATTGAGATTCCGCCCGGGTCACGAACCACAATCGCGTTTCGGTTTTAGTATGTGGACATCTGAATATCGAAGGAAAACATAGGTCGACAGTACAGCGCATCCTGGTGAGATGTTATGTGGCTGGGTTATTTCACCATCCAACAAGTGAAAGTTGCTTGTCTGTCCTCCTCTAGCATAAACAAAACTACAAATACAAATTATCTAACTAATCTCAGTGAATAGCAACATCATATAATGAAGTAACAAATGGATCTGTTACAAGAGATTAGAGATGCGCCGAATAATACTTTTACCGAGTAACGAGTAATGAGTTTTACTCGGCTCGATTTTTTTCCAACCGAGTACTCGGCCGAGTAACTCGATTCAATCAAATTCCCATTAAATTTCAAATGTGGAATATTTCTATTAATGTTCTTGTTATTTTGTCACATCACTACTCATTCATTAGCATATTTTTTTTTGAGATTTTCAAAGCTTTTCTAAATTACGAATAAATACTTATGGATTATCACTGTTGTTTTAACTATATCTACCTAAATATATTGCTTTTCTCAAACAAAGTATAGAATAAAAAATCGTTATAGAATAACAAAGTATAACCGAGTTATTTAGCCGAGTGTAGTAGTGAAAGCCCGTTTCCCCCTCGTGAACACATTTCTGTGTCCGTCTCACTGATCCGTTTTTTAACGGGAAAGTAGTTGATCAGACTTCTGTGCCCTGCCTGACCGAAACATGTTTTTTTTGTTTCCCTGTGATTCGAACCCAGGATCTCTCGCGCTCTCTTGCTAGGCAATACCATTTTAACAATTTGGCTACAGAGGCGGTCGAGAGTACCGAGTATCAACCGATTACTCGGCCCATCTCTACAAGAGATCTATTTATAAATGCTATTCAATTCGGTTACATAGAAGACTCGTAGTTCGTTCTACGACATAGGCACGTAGATTGCTAAAATATACAAATAAACCTTTCGATTTGAAATTTCGTGTAATCTGCTTTTAACGAGAAAGCTTATCGCTTACTTATCTAGATCGGTCGCAAGTTACACATATTAAATATTTTTCTTCATTCCTACAAACCTAACTCGTTCTTTATTGTCTAACTGTTGCTATCATTTTGTGACAGGCTAGTAATCAAATCCTATATATAATGGATTCCCAACGTGTCCAACATGTGAAAAATTTTAATTTTTCGAATCGAAATGCGGACTGTCGCATAGAAAAAGCCTATACTAATATTATAAAGCTGAAGAGTTTGTTTCATTGCTTATATGCGTCAATCTCGGAAGGAACTGCTTCTAATTAAGACTAAAAATATCTTTGTGTTAAACTATTTATCAAGGAAGACTTTATAAAGTAGGTTATATAGCATTAGGTTTTATAACATAGCATTTCAAAATTTTCCACTGTTTACGTTAACAGTGTAAATGTGAAAAAAAAGAGAGAAATGTATTTATCTTTGAGAATAAAATATTTAGGCATTAAATAATCGAAAAAACAAATCGCAACAATATTTCCTTTAAAAAACTCGTAATAATGATAAAAAAATTTGGTCGAAATTAATGCCTTATTACCAATTATTTGTTAGAATTGTATCAACATAAAAAGATTAATCTTACAAACAAACAAACAACGTCGGCCGGATCAGTAGCTGCAGCATTTCACTTTCAAGAGAACACCTTGCTAGTCTACCCTCCTATGTCATAAAAATAACACCAGCGTCGTAAACGGTTTAAAACGCGATATACTTATTATAACATTTAACTTATTTAAAAAGTATTTTAACTACGGCCCGACGTTTCGGATGCTTTGCAGCAGCCACGGCTGTCACGGAGAGACTAAAGATGGTAGGTGTCTCTAATGTCAAAGTGAAAAATGCTACGCTAGCGCCATCTGTTCCGTCGTAGTTGGCATTTGGCGAAACTGGCCGGGTTCTTGCAGAATTGAATACCAGCCGTATTTAAACGTTTTATCCCCTTTCATAACTTTAGGCCGACAAACTTGGCATTGATAAATTCAAATTGACACACAGCTATATAAAATCTATCAAAATTGTATCAGCAACAATCCTATTCATATGGCGGAGGCACGTGACGCAGTCGAGAGCTTAACGGATTTTCTAATAAAAGGAATTCCTGGAACATCCCTCTCAGTAGTTAGCTAACTATCCGTTTAATACTACCTGTATTCAGCTTACAGGAATACGCTGGGATTTAAATAGAACGTGCAAATAGGAATGATCTAGACTCTTAGAGTAATTCAATGTTATAGAGGACATTTTAGTGCTAAGTACATTTGAAATTATAATACAGATACATAATACATACATACATACATACTGTCTATAGTTTACGCGAGTAGTACACACTTAAATAAAACACTTTAACGGTTTAAAACGTCGGGCCGAAGTTAAAAATCATTTTTAAATAAGTTTAACTAATATATCGCGTTTTAAACCGTTAAAGTGTTTTATTTAAACATACATACATATTATAACTAGCTGTGTGAGGGACTTTATCCGCGTAGTTTTGGGCATCCAAATTTTTTTTGCAAACCCCCTCTTCTCTTTATAAATGTAAGCTGTTACCCACGACATCGGTCGCGTCCCGTTGTTTTAGCAGGTTAATATCAAAAGATAGACATATAAAGTCGCGGGTTTTGTTAGATCATTTATAGAGGAATCATTCTTTCATGCATATTTTTTGGGTATCTTATTTATTTTCTTCGGAAACTAAACAGTCCTGTCTTTTAAAATAAGTTAATACTAATATTCTTATTATCTAGGGAAAAATTAGGAATCTAAATGTAAGCAGGCATGTATGTACTCAGTGACAGTACCTTTACAAGTTTCACTGAGAACATTTGAGTTAAAAAGTTAAAAAAAAAGTCAACGCGTTATTATGAACCATATTGTGGAGGGGTCTTAAACAGTTTTTGCAGCGTACGCCTCGGAAATCCATAATAACGAATAATTTTTCAAATTTTCGTGACATTACTCGCTGTATCTTCTCTTTTATTAGTCACAGTGTAATGTTTTATAGCCTATAGCCGTCCTCGATAAGTGCTCTAACCAACACATAATAATATAATACAAGAATTTTTCAATTTGAACCCGTGGTCCCAGAGATTAACGCATTCAAACACTCTTCAGCTTTATATATTAGTATAGAGTGAGGTAGACAAAATCTTTCCTTACTATTTAAGTATGTTCTGAAGACGAGGCGAAGATATATGTGTATTACTAACGGTTCATTAACAATTATTATTGCGGAGAGAAACATGAGCTATGTATAATATTACACGTGATGGAATGTTCAAACTTCTATATAGTTATTTTTTGTTAGTTCATTTGTTTTGAAAAAAATATTTAAACTTCTATATTGATTTCTGGTATAAATAAAACACGATGATATCGAAACACTATTGTTATCAAAGCAAAGTAGCAAATAGAAAGGGAGAAAGAAGGGGAATCCCACCGCCTCTAGTCGGGAAATTAAAACGGTACACAAAGTAAGACATAATTTATTTTAACACTAAGATCTACAATTTAATATCAGGTAAGCTATTATCCAAAGATTCATCGTATACTACGACAGCACTTTTATGTTTGTACTCCACTGAAATCTCAAATGCATCACGCTCCCCCAACTTATCGAAAAAGTGGCTTGTATTCTCTTCACTTACGGACGTTCGGGAAAAATTAAAAATGCCCTTCGACTTAGGAGTGGAGCAGCTCAATTTTCCATCAGCCAGTATGCTTTTCCTTTGCTTCTCTAGCTTATTTTCGAAGACTAGCTTAACCAAATTGCTATTAAGCGTTGCCGTCGTGAAGGAAGGGGCTGCTGTAACAATATTATCTACGATAAGTGATAGATCACTTTCATAAATGTCTCCCGTACAATCCAGCATACTCAATAGATGGAGCTCTTTCTCGCTTTGGTTTCCTAAATCTTTGTTAGTTTGATCTTCTTTTAATATGGAGTATCTTAAAGAATTCTTCTTCTTTTTCTTTACGAGGTAATTTTCTATACCCTTCGTTTTTCTAGAGTTCTTAATCTTCCTTTTAAGCTTATTGACATTTACGCTTACATTTAGCTTACTGTTGTCGAATTCAGTCTTTTTTGAGATACTTAAGTTTTGCATAGACTTGTTTATTTCAGATATATGTGCATCAACATCATCTCCTAGTTTAGGTTTCCGCGTATATTTGCGTTTAGGTTTATCTGTCTCCACGTTTCCTTTCTTCTCTCCTCTAGTCTTCTTCGCTTTGACTGGCTTTTTGATGGATTCTTCGTAAGTATCAACGATGTCTGGATAAAACTCTTTCATCAGATCCTGTCTCTCAGTTGTTGTCCAGATATCTGATAGTTCTTCACCATCTGTTGAGGGAATTATTTAAAATTTACAAAAATAGTTTAAACACTTTCATTTTGGTCACAAAAGGTTTTAACAGTTCATTTAGTTTATTAACATTATAACACATATGAGATTTAAAATTAAACTATCAATACGTTAGTTTGAAGCTAAAACTTTTCATTTAATAGCAAAAAAGGATTCTGAAATAAGAACACAGTCGTACCACGGTAGCTAGATCAACACATCACGCATGCACGTCGTACTGTTAGTATGAGTACTTTAAATAAAATGTTATAAATGTGAATACCTTTTAATTGGTCATCTGGAACAAGTGCTTCATATTGTGAGTCGATATCAGCCCATACTACTTCATAACTAGGAACCCCTAATAAACAATATCAAAAGAAAAATAAAAAAATCGTGTAAACACTTTTGGAGTCTATAATTTAAAAATCGAAAATAAATTGAAAAAATGTTCGACTCGACTTCGACTCTACCAATTGAGCTACTGAGTCCTACTACTGACGATGCCGTTTCAAGTCCTGCCCGAGTCGAAATATTTTTCGATAGTGCCTTCATGTGCAATACACATGTAAAAAATATTATGAGTTTGAAATATTTTATATAATTTTCTAAAACATATTTAAATCAGTCTAACTAACTAACACTTTTTACTTTACTTTCAGTACTTTTTTAATTCACAATCAAACGTCTAAAGCCAAAAGGGTCGACAACGCATCTTAATTAGGCGTTATAGAGCTGGGGTATTTTATTACCTTTTTATCAAGTGTCATAAAAATTATCATAAAAAAGTGAAACCTTGATCCTTGATCAGTTTTGTTTAGAGGCAAGTAGTTAATATGACTTCTATGTCCTGCGCGAAGCAATCTAATGTTTCCCCCCGGATTCGAACCACTCGTGCATAACGATGCTTGTCAACACGTTCAACCATTAAGCTACAGAGGCGGTAACTGTCATACCTCGAGGATTTCTTTTCTTCTTAATTTCGATCGGTCGTATTGTTCTACAGGGCACAGAGCTTTGCAGGTGCCATTTCGTTAAAACAGGTAGAAATTTCTCAATGCAATATCTCTCCGTCCAATCCAACTTGTTTGTCATTATTTTCTGTAAATATCAAATGTTAGGTCGCTATTTTATTATATACATACTAGCTGACCCGGCAAGCGTTGTTTTCCCATATAAATAATTTTACTAAAATGGCTATTAAAAAATAAGGGTTGATCGTAGAGGCGTGAAAATTGAGGATTGGAGGATAGTAATCAAAAATATTTGTTGGCCGATTCGTATAGATACCGGAGAAGCACAAAAAATTTCATCAAAATCGATCAAGCCGTTTCGGAAGAGTTTGGCAACGAAAACTGTAACAGAAGGGCATTTGGATTATTTGACGTTATACACAGTTGAATGTATTGAAGAAAACATGTAATACTTTCTGTAACTAGAAGAAGTCTTAGTAAGTCGTCGACTAAAAGATGAAGAAGGCTTTCTTTTTTTACAAAAGTAACTACTTTTCCAGTTTAACGTTTTAAACCGCGAAATTTATTAGTAAAAGACTTATTTGATAATTATTCTAACTACCCGACGTTTCGGATGGTTTACAACAGCCGTTTTAAACCGTTAAATACATACACAATACAGTAAGCTACAAACGGTATCACATTAAATAAAGCACATTTAACGCTTCAGAACATGAAATAATTTTGCTGATACATTAATTGCAATAACTACAATAACAACAAACCATCAAGTCATTATTAAATATAAAATATCTTTCGCGTTCTAAACGGTCAATAGTGTTTTATTTAATATAAAAGTGGGGTCTTAGACGTTTAATTTTTAAAAGCTTTTCACTCTGACTATTCCTTAGAAACAAGGGAGATTTATGAATACAAAGCGAATACCACGAATTGAATCAAACTAGGCTGTGGAATGGCCGCGTCTAGATCTATATCGTCTGCTGTTGCATCTAGGAATTCCTTCATAACTTTAGGTTCGGGAAACGGCATTCCGCACGAGAGAGCCCGACTGCGGAGCGATAGTTCGCGTTTCGAGTCCGCCACTTTGGCCCTGTAAACAGATGGCGGGTTAATCGGCATCGTTATTCATTTGTTTTATTAATCAACCCCGTTCTTATAAAAAGCTGAGTATAAGTAAATAAGAGTGTTTAAGGGATGATTCACAACATGAAGATTACAAATTTGTAGTTGGCCTTTTCAGTGTAAAGTGACTGGGATTTTTAAAACATAACTCCACAAACACACAACAGGACAAACCCCATTTTATGTTGACATAGTCCTGGATTCGAACCCACGAACTTAATGTACTACTGCACCTTGGCGAGACCTAACATTGCAAGAATAAATATTTCTTTACTAAGTACACCAAAATGAAGCCCGATGTAGATAAATGGTGTAAAGAAATGGTTTTGAGTTAAAAAAATTAGATTAGACCACTAATAGCTGTCTATAATATATGCGAGTTTTCATTAATTTAAATAAAACACTAACGGTTTAAAACTCGAATACTTCGGTTAAACTTACTTGAAAATTATTTTCACTACGACTCCGTCCGTCCGTGCAGTTAAAATAATTTCGAAATAAGTTTAACTAAAATATATCGCGTTTTAAACCGTTAAAGTGTTTTATTTCAACCAGTAATGCGTGCAGATGATTATTGCATGAAGATAAAAACACTTACTTATGTCCAAGGTCGTTACACCCTCGATGAGTGGCGCAAATTGGGCATCCGTTCTTCAAATGAGTACGACCAACATGCCCGCATCGATCACAGCGCCCAGGCTGGGACACCCAGCGTTCCAGCTCCACATAATCATTAGGGTTTGTCACCCATGACAACAGCCTGAAAGAAAGCTTTTTAAAATCGATTAAAAATTTAAAAAAAATACGACTCGGGCAGGATTCACAGAGTTCCGTGTTGCTTTAACCAATTGAGCTACCGAGTCGTATTTTTTTTTTATTTTTAATTGATATCTATTGTACCATGTGAAAAATTATTAAAGTTTTTAGAAAGCTTTTTTATTACAGAGGAAAGACGAAATTATAGGGATCACTCTGTGGAAAGAAAAATACCATAGACATTTAGGTTTAAAACGAGGAGTTTAGCCGCGACCACGACTGCTGCAAAGCATCTGAAACATCGGACCATAGTTAAAATAATTTTAAACTAACATTTCGCGTTTTAAGCCGTTAAACGTGTTTTACCTTAAAGTACTACTTGCGTAAACGCATATTTGCTTCAGGAATCCAAAAACTGACATCGAAACGCGATTAAACTTCACGGCTTTTAAATGTGGACAATCATTCATGACACGAAGGATTTTCGATTTCTAGACTAAGTCCAATGTTTCAGAAAAATTATAAAGTGATTAAAAAAGTTTTGGACCCGATGGGGACCAAACCCACGATGCGTTAATTATTAGCTATACATTGCCACCATTATACCAACCCCGCCAATAACGAATACCATGCATCGGGTTCGTTGGTAAATATTTGTAGATCAATTTAAGAAGTATAATAAAATTAAAACCAAATTACCTGGGTATTACGTCGTCGTCGGGAATACTGTGTAACAACGTTAAAACGGTGTTAATAGAAGTGCCACACGCACCAACCCCATAGTCACACCCACAGAGTAACGCCAAAGCTATCATCTTTTTACGGCCGAACCCTAAGGAGATAGACATACATAACAATTTGACAACATAATATTAACCTTAATACGCAAGTGTTAAGTTTGAAATTACATTGCGCGAGAGATGAATGTATTAGTAGGTTGAAAAAAGTGTCGACGACGAAGTGTAGCACACGGTAGCTCAAATGATTAGAGCAACGGAACGATGTGGATGCTGGTTCAAGTCTTGCCCGTATCGTAAATTTTTTCAATATGTAATCGATTTATAATTGACATAAAATCAAGTTCGTTCTTTACATTACGTGAGTAGTACATTATGGGAATGTGTAAAAGACACTGTGGTATATGGTTAGCAAACAACTGTGTATCATTGATCGATTTTTTCATCTTTTGACTTCTGAGCTCTGCCCGAACGGAGAATTATTCGTTTCACAGGATTCGAACCCAAGATAACTTGCTGAAAACGCTACGCTATATCTTTAATCATTAAGGTTAAGTATTGTCTGTTTATGCGAAGAACATATTTAAATAAAACACTTTTACCGGTTTAAAACGCGAAATATAGTCGTAAACTATATTTGCAATTAATTTTAACTATGGTGGTTAATTACGGGGGCTATCGAGACCTAAAATTTAATTTATAAATATCGCGCTTTAAACCGTAAAAAATATTTAAACCATAAAGTTTCTTAAACTTCATTTAACAAGTTGAAACTCAGATTATATGACCGTCTTCTTGTCGTTGTGAAAATTCGACCTTTATCTTTAGGTAAGTTAAACTAACTTAACGGTTTCAAACGCGAATTATTTAGTAAAACATATTGTAGGGTGCGTCCTACCCCATGACCACGACTACTGCAAAGTATGAGAAACGCGGAGTCATTATTAAAGTTTAAACATATTTAAATTCTCTCGTTTTATATCGTGTTTTATTTAAACGTGTACTACTCACATAAAGTACCTATCTTCATGTAATGTGCGTTACTGTTTAAAGTACACAATATTATCATAAGAAAATCGTTAAGTGTGAAAAGATAAATAACTTTTCCTAAGTAGAAGAGAGAACTCTAAAATATAAGCACAAAGTAATATTCAAATACTCGCTTGCTATGCTTTACGCTACAATAAACTTTATATGAAAATGCGCTTTGCTTTAACAATACAATCATGTTGTACACATAACAACGAGAAAATAAAAGACAGTATTCACAAACAGGCACAAATGACAATCGTGTTCTGTGCCTTTTCTACAATGCAGACACGACGTTTGTTTCGCTGATTGCTTCTACAGTGGTTAATAAACTTCAGACGAATTTCATCGGGATTCGAACCCGGAACCTCACGCTCTTTAAGTAACGAAATAATATTCATTTTAAGTTTGAACTAATATAATAAATGCGAACGCTTTTGAGTAGCGATCCAGATGACTTTGATGAAGATTCGTGTTATTACAAACAGTGATCCTGAATATAGGTCCTGGATTCGAATCCCGGGGAAAGAACAGATCGGTCGGGCACTGAAGCTTGACGAACTGAACTGAAATGTGTTCGCTCCATGCCCCGGGAATGCACGGGGGAAACGGGTTTTCACTTTCCACATAGACGTCAGAATTGCCTGACGCGGTTGGTATTATATATTTACACCGTCAGTCAAAAAGTGTGTGTATGCGCTTACCAATAGATTCAAACATTTTATTCGCATCGTAGGCATCTACGGAGCCCTGCATGGCGCCACCTCCCGCTGAGCTGGAAACGCTGAAGTTGCGGTACACCCGCCGAGCGCCATAGGCGAAGCAATCAGAATCTTGTGACACCACAGCATCTACTAACTATAAAGACTCGTAGCATTAATACTAAATAATTATAAGCAACAATTTGGACTCTAAAAAATGGTTCTCTCTTTCAAAGGGACACTTTCCCACAGCCAGACCTCAGTCTACGTAAAATAGCTACCACTTATTACTTTACTATACTTACTGCTACATACTTGAACATACAAATAAAATCAAAGAAAGCTTTAATTAACCAACTCTTGATGTAAAGCTCTCTTTTCCCCTGGGGGGCCCATCTCCTCCAGGATTAAATTGGATGGATTAAGTAAGATTTAAGTAAAACAGACATGTCTTTATCTGTTTCACTTATTTCTGTGCCCTGCCTAAATGAAAACAATGTTTTTTTTTTATAATAAAATCCAGGAATTCTTGTGTTTAATATAGCATGTTAACCACTTTCAATTAGTGCCTGAGCGCTGTGTTATTACAAAAGTATACTTACACCCTTAGAATTTAATCTTGCACATGTTGCTTCTGCCTCTCCAGAACCCTTAACACATCGTACACCTATGCTCTTTAGTAAAGTTTCACACTAAAACAATTGAATAGTTATAGCTATTTTATTAGCAAATTATATGAAAGAATGTGACTCCATATTTCCTAACTTACTTCTTTCAATACCCCTTTAAACCTTTTTCTAGATACACTGGGAGCTTGGGTCTTGTTAGTTTGTGATTTAGGTGCGGCACCACGAAATTGAATTGCATTTCTAGCTGCCATAACGTCTCGTTTAAGTTCTGGAGCATCCCCCTCTAACACAAATATGGGGTTTATATCTGCTAATAGGAGGTATGCAGTTCGGAAAAACAAATTTCTGAAACAAACTATCATTACTTATATTATTGTATAAAATAAAATAATCTAAAATATGTGTGTATTATTTACCTTAAATACAACTTTGGTTGTATGTAATAATCTGTTACATTCTGACTATCACAGACCCAACCAGCCAAATCAACAGCTACAGTTTCACCTCTTATCTTAAATTTAAGTTAATATTTTTTTAATAACGGTGAGATAGGTAGGTTTAATATTATCATAGGGGACTTATGTACCTCATGTAAGGATTTCTTCTCACAATACGGCGCCATAACAGTCCATAGTCCCTTAATTCCCATTTTAAGAGTGATACAACAAAAAGAACATGACATATACAACAGAAAGGTAGTTATTTAAAAGATATATAAGCAAACAGTTAAATCGTATTATGTACAATAATTTTATAATTGTGTTAATATCCAAATTCACAAGAATATACTAGCAAATACCTAATATATCAGTTAAGAGACCAGCGATTAATAACGGTTAAGTAGGAACCTTTTAATTTTATAAGTGATTTAAAATTAATAGCAGTAATCTAGGACATGTTAAGGCCCTCATTATTAATAAACAATAATTAAACTGTAATTAAATAAAACCATTCTCCAACTAAGTAACAAAATTATGATACTTAGCGAATATTTATAAATTGTTATTGTTGATAGTACAATTTTTAAACTTAGTTCGTATTTTCGTAACTGTTTTCTCTTGAATGTCAAATATTGACATTGACATCTACTCTACATTATTCGTAATCGATTTATCGAAACGATATATTTTTATTTTTTGTTGTCGTTACTGCTTTAAATGTATATGTATAATTACTTTAGATAATTTAACTTTACATTTGTGAATGTACACAGTACTAATTTATAGTACCAGCTCTGTATAAGAAGAGTTGAAGTTATACATTTAACAAATTCTACACGACTTCTGCGATTACTACGATACATTGGTATCGATTAATCTGAAAACAAGTAGATACGGATGAATCGCTGTCAATTGTCATTGCATTTGTAAATAAATAACAACATATTTTATAAAGTGATAAATTTACTATGAAATTTTAGGTTTAAATATGGTGTTTATATATAAATGAGACCAACAATAAAAAAATATTGCTAATAATGAGATCGAGGGCATCTTCGAGTCAGATGTCAATAGCGGAAGCGAAGTAGATGTCTAGGTTATAATTTATATTTAATAAGTTGCATGCATTGACGCGTTGAAATATAAGATCTGTAAAACCATAATTGTACCACTTCTAAAATAAATAAATACTATTTTCAGAATTTAGCGGAGATTATGAACCTGAAATTTGGATGAGCCGAACCCCATGGAGGACTTGGAACTCATGCGCCAGGACGCCAAGGAGGACCAAGCTACATGATATGGCTGAGGATGACGAAGATGTTTTATATTTTGATTGGTCTTCGGAATATGACAATTTCGAGGGTGTCAGAGAGGTATTTTCTGGGCCGTCAGCGTCAAAACAAACAAGCTGGAAAACTTAAGTCGCGAATAAGCCTATGGAAAGACACTACCAGGGAGGAAATATGGCGTTTCCTCTCCATTTTAATGCTGCAATCATTAGTAGTTTCTCATTCCTGATTCGATCATGCAGCGTAACTCCGACCGTAGGCTTTTCGCTAAGCGACGCGTAGCGACGCTTCATCACTGGTAACACACACTGCTGGAACACTAGTTTTAAGGCACTGAGGTATACGGGATGAAAAGACTTTGTCTAGTTTCCCGAACGCTGCCCAGCTGAGTCTGATTTGACGATTGATCTCTTTCACGAAGTTGGATCTACCTAATTGTATAACTTGACCCAGGGAGACGTATTCGTCAACAACTTCGAGTACAGTGCTTCCAATAGATACAGAGGTAGGCACTACATGGGCGTTCGACATTATTTTTATCTTGTCCGTGTTCATAATCAGGATTACCTGCTTGGAAACACTGTTGAGGTCTTCAAGCATTGTGTTTAGATCCTCCAAGTATTAGTATTATCATTATTTAATTGTTATCGCTTTATAGTAAGTACTAATATATTATACTTACTTAAAACATTTTTTAAATGAAATCGTAACAAATAGCAGAAGTTATAAGCCCACTCAATTATAAAGACTGTTACAAAACTATTAATTCATACTAAGCAAATGTCAGTTTTATTGTTCGGGTTACGTGTTTCTCTGTTCTGTTTGTTACAGACGCTATTTTTTATTTCTATGATTTTTGTATATAAATGTGTATTTATTTACAAAAAATATAAATATATATTTATATACACTATAAATTTAAATATCTGCATGTAATAAAATTAAAACTTTTATTTTTATAGCTTTTCTCGTGATCCAGTGTGGAGAATCGACTTTAGAAATGTTGCTGGCAAGCTCAGCTTGTTGTTAAAAAGATTCGACTTGCGGGTCGATCGATCGAATAACAGATATTGAGACTGCTAAAACGGTCTACTTTGCGTACTTCCACACTGTTATGGCATATAATTATTGAGTTTTAATTTTGAATGTATTTTACAAAATCAGAAAGATCTTGTAAAATGTATTTAGTATTTAATTTATATTGTTTACTAACTATTGAATTTAGATTTAGATACAAAGTAAAGATTAAAATAAATGTTATGTTTCTGATATTTCAATTACTTTCATTAATTTGTGGTGTCCTATCCGAAAGAATATATACTTTCAGTTAAATTACAACCATTAGATATATAATACATAGAATAAAATAACCGTTACCAATATTATGAAAAGAAGTTTTTTTAAAGTATTGAATGAAAATATATTGAATATTTCAACTCTATTCATTCCTTGTCCAAGCCCTAGTCTCGGTCGTAAAAGTGGTTGGCTTTTTGTAATTTTGACTTTAACACAAGCATGTAAAGTTGAATTTGTTCTGATATCATATTAATTTTTGTTAGAATTTTTGTAAAGACAACCTTATTTTAAGTTGTTAAGGTTGAATTTAAACCAATGTATATATAATATAACTGTAGTCATGTCAAAACATTTAGGGACAGTTTTTAGACAAATTTTGTATGGATTGTATATCTAGTTTAGCAGTGATCGATGGCCACCGGCGAGTGAGCTGTTAAATAATTACCATTTACATCATTTTCGTCGGTTATCATGTTTATTCATAAGAATGATAAGCGGCTACGTCATTTTAATTATAATCCAATAGCAGAAGTATGCGCGTTATCAGTCAAATTTTTTAGATTGGTGTAGTAATGTAATAAAAGCGAGACCAGAGAACAAGAATTGCAAGCACAATTATCAATATTAATTTAAACCGCCGTTAATTCGCACATTGTTGAATATTTTTATAGACGTTAAAGAAAATGTATTTAAGTAGAATAAGCAAGTTTTGGTAAGTTACAATCTTTGTTTAAAAGTGTAATTAATAAGAACAGAATTAGCCAGCATTTATTGTGCATTGATATTTTTTTCAGGCAGTCACAATATTTTCAAAATGGAAGGCGGTATAGTCATAACATCGAACCGAAAAAAGACATTCAATTGAGAAATATCAATAAAGTGTTGATAGCCAACCGTGGTGAAATAGCATGTAGGGTTATGAGAACTGCTCAAAAGTTAGGTATAAGAACAGTTGCGGTATATTCAGATGCGGATAGACAAGCAATGCATGTTGAAATGGTACAAACTATTTTTATATATGAAACAGATACTGCATTTGATATGATTCTAATTCATATTTCTTATTCTATAATCTAGGCTGATGAAGCATATCACATCGGTCCAGCTCCTTCAACATTAAGCTATTTAAACGCTAACAAAATATTAGAAGTAGCTAAGAAGTCCAACAGCCAAGCAATACATCCCGGTTATGGTTTCCTGTCTGAAAATGTGGAATTCTGCAAACAATGTGCGAATGAGGGTGTTATATTTGTTGGGCCTCCAACTTCAGCAATTAGAGATATGGGTATTAAAAGGTAATATTGTTTATAAATTGTGAATCTTGGTGTTTTTTCTCCAGTACCTATTGTACTATCAGAAGCACTATTGACCTACCATTAATTATAATGTAATTTATTGATCTCTCGATGTTGAATGAGAGATTCTCAATAGTAGAGTAAATTTTGAAAAACCCCTTACTGCGAATTAATGGTTTATTAAACTGATGAAAATAGTAAGATATATCTATAACCTCTTCTAGTGCATTTTTGGCATTAAAAGTGCTTTAAATATTATTAAATGTATATTTCAAAATGTAAAAACATTACAGCACTTCGAAAGCAATCATGTCAAATGCGGGAGTGCCCATAGTGAAGGGATATCACGGAGAAGAACAAAGCACTAATCAGCTGTTAGCTGAAGCTAGGAGAATAGGCTTTCCGTTGATGATTAAAGCAGTTAGAGGTGGTGGAGGAAAAGTGAGTAATATCTGATCACAACTTAATCTAATATGATAAAGTTTTACATAAGTAAAACTGTTATAACAAGTGCCTTTCTCACCCAGGTAAATATAATTTGGTTAAGTATAGGATTGGTTAGCACTGACTCCCCAGCAAAGCATGTTTGATAATACTTATTGATAAATTGACCAGAAGATTGAGTAATAAAAGAGACTCAGAAATATATCTGCCACTAAAATATTTTTCAGGGCATGAGAATAGCAATGACGGAATCAGAATTTATGACACAATTGGAATCTGCAAAACGGGAATCTCTGAAATCATTTGGCGACGATAACATGTTGCTGGAACAGTACATAACAGATCCTAGACATGTTGAGGTTCAGGTAAGAAAATCATACAGTTTATTTTTATATCACACTGATTCTAGCATTACCTACCCAAACTTTTACAGAAAATACAGTGTACCTAGGGGAGAAGGGCCGCCTCTCCCCCTACTTTCAAGCAGAATCTAAACATAATGTACTAGCTGTAAAAGTCGCTGGGACTTTGTCCGCTTAGAATAATTATTTGGGCGTCAAAATCGGTTTTTGCAAACCTTCTCCTTATCTTTATAAATTACTTATAGCCCTAACCCACGACGTCGTTCGCATCCCGTCATACGCGTCTCGTCGTTCTTGCAAGTTAATCTGAAAGATAGACATATACTGTCCCAGACATTTTCTTCATCATTCTTTCTTACATATTATTTTGGTTTTTTAAACCATTTTCACAGCGCATGCAGCGGAAACCTTTAAAGATAGTAATTCCATCCGTTTCTACCACATTTCCCACTATATCTTCGCTCTTATTAGTCGCATCCTGATGTTTTATAGCCTAAAGCCAACCCACACAAACATAATGTTTTAATTCGAACTAGTAGTTCCTGAGATTAGCGCGTTCAAACAATCTTTTCAGTTTTATATATTAATATGAATGTCGAATTTACTGATAAAGTTTTGTGTGCTAGGTGTTTGCAGATATGCACGGTAACGCTGTACATCTGTTTGAAAGAGACTGCTCCGTTCAAAGACGCCACCAGAAGATTATAGAAGAAGCACCTGCCGTAAGATATATTTTATTTATATAACTTGACTTTACGGTATCACTCTATCTATGTCTTAATTCTAATATTTTAATGTTGAAAGCTTCTTAAATGTAACTTAACCTAATTATTATATCGGAATAATGTTACTTCGTCTGTGCCTCTTGGTTGGGGAGCTATGGTGATATGGTCAAGTAATTTCACAGTCTGATTACCCAACCTGTAATTAGAGTCCCACCTCTACTAAATGTGTACACAAAAAATCTCTTTTTCGAATATTCATCAAAGAATCAGTTATTTTACAGGCAATGGTGGCCATGGCAACTTGTCAATTAGATTTTTTTTCCCTTAGCCCGGCTTATCAGAAGAGACTCGTCGTGCTCTCGGCGAGGCTGCAGTCAGAGCAGCAAAGGCCGTGGGCTACGTTGGTGCTGGTACTGTCGAATTCATTCTGCACAGACAAACACACGAGTTTCACTTCATGGAGATGAACACTCGCTTACAAGTTGAACACCCTATCACCGAGATGATCACAGGTCTGCTCTATTTTTACCTATATAAATGATGACTAGATCATGCATTAAATAAAACTATTGCAAACGCGTTAAAACGCGAACCATATTCAAACCAATTAACTTAACTTCTTGTAACACATATAAATATTCTAATAAAACACTTAACAGTTTAAAAGGCGAAATATACTTACTTATGTTTTTTACGATAGCCCAAAGTGTCGATCTTTTATCACGTTCCCCCGTGATATATTCCTCGTTTTATACCGTTTTATTCAGTACTATTCGTAAATACAGATGGTTGCTTGGCTGGAGACCAAAAGCAATTTTTTATGAAAATCATTTTTTTTTGACAGGCACTGACTTGGTGGAGTGGCAACTTCGAATCGCTTCTGGTGAGCCTCTGCCTGTTACTCAAGAAGACATCATAAAACGCGGGCATGCAGTGGAATGTCGGATCTATGCGGAGGAGCCGCGAGCTGGATTTCTGCCACGCGCTGGAACTCTTCACAGACTTACTCAACCCACCTCTGAGGAGAATGTTCGAGTATGTTTCTAGATTATATTAAAAAAACTGCTTAAGTCTACTTACTTCAATTTTCAAATAACATTCGAATTATAGGAAAACACTACTAACGACTTTAGGTCTCGAAAGACAAAGAAAAAACGATCAGACACAGCAAACTTTGACGACGGAAAATTTGACAGGCTCGTTGGTGTAACGATAACTATCAACGGGTTGTGGATTCTATATAATTATTCTAAAACTAATGGGACTTCGCCTAGAAAACCATTAATTTTATCTTAACTTATAATTTAGCCCTAAGGGAAAATGCGAGTGGTAATTACATTGAAACGCTAGATGGCTCTAGTGTAGCGATTGTTTACTTTGACGACAGAGACGTCCTCCATCTATAGTCTCCCCGTGACCACAGCTGCTGCAAAGCATCCGAAACGTGGGGCCGTAATTAAAAATAATTTTCAAATAAGTTTAACTAATATATCGCGTTTTAAACTGTTAAAGTGTTTTATTTAAACTATTATTAGATTACCATCGGGGCATTGATAAAAGTCCAGTCGAATCTTCTCTTTTTTCCTCTTCTCTTCAATTCTTACCTTTATTCCAGATTGAAACAGGAGTAAGACAAGGTCAAGAAGTTTCAGTTCACTACGATCCCATGATAGCTAAGCTGGTTGTGTGGGGACGAGATAGAAATGAAGCGCTCGCTAAGACGCGCCGGAAGCTTTCTGAATATCAGGTAATTCACCAATGTTAGATATGTCTCCAATACCTTTTTTTAAAAAGACTACAAATCTGTCGATTTGGGTTTATCTGGACGTTTAAGCTATGTGGCTAAATCAAGGTTCTGTAAGGACCCAGCTAGTCAGTCCCCATGTGACCATGCCTGCTGCAAAGCATTCAACGTCGGGCCGTAGTTAAAATAAATAAAATTAATATATTTCGCATTTTATACCATACCTTTATCGCCACATTGGGCGTATACAAACGGCATATACAATACTATATGTACAATATATGTTACATATATAGTCAATATATGTAATATGGCCACTACAGTAACTCAGTTTCTATTATTAAAATAATATTATTTGAGTATTATGAAAAATATATATATGTGAAATCCCGGTTCCCCCTCTTGGGGCATGGGGCGAACACACTTTTGTGTTTGTTTCACTGATCGGTTGTTTAACAGGCAAGTAGTTGATCAGACTTCTGTGCCCTGCTCGACCGAAACAATTTTTTGTTCCCCTGGGCTTCGAAACCAGGACCTCTCGCGCTTAACGCAATGCTAAGCAATGCGTATAACCATTTGGCTACAGAACCGGTCATAAAAACGATACCTTCATTAAAAATTTACTTCTAGGTAGCTGGCTTAGAAACGAACGTAAACTTTTTATTAAGGTTGAGCGGCGCAAGCGCATTCGTTTCGGGTGATGTTCACACAGCGTTCATCCCTCAACATGAAGCTGAATTATTCCCCGAATCGGATTTACATATTAGCGAGGAAAGAGCCATACAAGCTGCATTGGGACATGTAAGTATTTACTGCAAAAAGTGTGCTATTTAAAAAAAAAGGAGAAGATCTTACTTCATATAAAACTACTAGTCATTTTCGGTCAAAGGGTTGCCAGACCAAAAAAAGGTTTTGGTTAAGAAGTATGAGGCAATTACGTTACTATCTCCATTATACTAATAGATTTACAGACTATACTTTTTATTACTAGAAAAAATCACAAAGTAGTTAAAAGTTCAGCAGTTTTCATTTTGTATATAAAAAGCATAGTGAAAAAAGATTTTCCGTCATGTGAAACTACTAGTTATTTCAGGTTAAAGTGTTGCCAGATCAAAAACAATGGTTTTGTTCAAGAAGCGTGCGTCAATCACGTTTCTACTGTAATCTCCATTTTCCTAATCGATTTACAAACAAAATCTATATCAGAGTTCGGCAGATTTAATATTTTTTCAGATTATTAAATCCCAATTAGAGAACTCACCAAATGACACGTGGAAAGGAATCTCTGTAGCACCAACATCCTGGAGACCGAACTACCAGCTTCAGAAAACAGTTCATTTGAAGTTCGGCGAAAAAGGTTTGTATTACAATATTTATCAAAAACTCTGAGTAGTTGAATCGAGTTCCCTTTGAACTTAAATTAGTTTTCCTTCTAAAAAACATAATTGATTGTTTGTCATGACGGCTAAAAAACTAAATTTAAGTATTGTTGTACCCAAGTAATACACAATAAAAAAAAATATTCTTCATGGTTTAAACATTTTTATTTTTTTAACGAAGTCTTGACATTGCGATTACTACAGCACAAAACAAAAATAAATAAGATATATTTCGCGTTTTAAACCGTTAATGTTTTTTTTTTATTTAATTAAAGATATAGAAATGCAAACAGAAGCATTGTATTGAACATCTACCTCAGTATAACCCTGTTAAAAGATAAATAGTAGAAATACAATAAGCCGTAAAGGAACCACACTTTCTATTAAGTACATTTGTTTTTGTTAACAATGTCAATCGACTTATTTCTTACTGATCTAGGATAAGCTACATACACTAGGCTAAGCATAATATAAGCGAGTATTTAAAATTTTTCAGACGTCAAAGTCGCCTTACAATTTGAGAGCACACCAAACACATATCTAGTGCGAGTGAATGATGGTGAATGGAAAAAGGCGGAAGCATCCTTAAAACAGAGTGAAAACGGTCTCAGGCTGATTACCAAGTTGGATGACAAGACCAGTAATGTCGGATTACTCACATATGATCAAGAAGTACACGTTTATGACGAGGTAATCACACTATACTATTTATAACATATACGCTCGTAAAGTGGATGTAATTACACCGATTTCAATATCGTAATGTATCTCATTACGTACTTGTGCGATAATGTAATGTAAAAGGCACGTGTGTTTTTTTTTAGCAAAGAGGTTTTATGTCAAAAAGTGGTTAATATTCTATGAATAAAATTAACTTTGGCAAATAAAATACAACAAATAAACATTTAATTCTTTAATTTAATCAATTTTGACAATAAATTACAACCATTTATCAATAACAAAAATATTAATTCACTTTATTAGTAATACTGGCTGTTTTTGTACCTTTGCCAAAAAAAAAACGTTGATGCGCGCGCATCGCTTAAGTTAGAGTTTTATTAATTTCCTCATGTTATAAAACGTCGTATGACATACGTGCGCTTTGAAAATTACAGCCTCTGCTTTCTTATAAGTAGTAATATCGCCTCGGCTGAAATTTTCAACTTACCGCACTTATATCATAATGTACTATTACGTCGGGCATTATGTAAAGATAGTAATGTACGGCTAATAATCAACGGGTCGTGGGTCCCCACCGGGTCCAACATATTTCTAACTTTTCTGAAACATGTTGAATTTCATATGGAAATCTGAAATTAAATGGGTGATGGGAATATCGAAATTCCGTCCGAGTTACGAGCCGTGAAGTATCACGTTTCGGGTAGTCTGTGGATTTCCGAATATTCGAAGCCGTAATAGGTAGACAGTGCATCTTGTTTAGATACTATAGGCTAGGGTAGTTCACCTACCATCAAGTTCTCTTATCGTTAAAAAAAAACGATAAGTGTATTTTTTCGAACTTGAGAAACGACCGCAACAAATATAGCCGGTTTCGAACCATAGAGAACTAGTGATGACCTATTATAGAGTTAAGTTGATGACAGAGGGATAAATATCGATTATATACGAATTAAAAGACCTCAATATTCAAAATCACTTGAACGACAATTACGACGTCAAACAGTTCGAAAACTGAACTGTCTTGCTTTGTCTTGATTGATCAAAAATTTTATAGTTATATTTTTGTAAGTTTTAATGCAACATATATTTGTATAAAGAAAATGCTTTATATGAGTATTATTTATATACATATTAAGAGTTACTGTAATATTTTCTTTAATATATTTAGTTCAAAATATCTTTGACTTATTATTTCATATATTTTTTGTTTAATTTAACAGAACGGACAAACAGTGCTCCAGCTACCAGTTCCAAAGTACCAGGCTGCTGTCAACGCGAGATCTTCTCAGTCTTCAGACAATGCATGCTCGCCAACACCTGGTGTCCTTGAAAAAATACTAGTTAACGCTGGGGAAAAGGTATGACTTACTTAATCAGTTATATGCAATGTTATTTATATACGCGATACGCAAACTCCCCATGACCACGGCTGCTGCAAGGCATCCGAAACGTCGGGCCGAAGTTAAAATAATTTTCAAATAAGTTTAACTAATATATCGCGTTTTAAACCGTTAAAGTGTTTTATTTGAATGTGTACTACTCGCGTAAACTATAGACAGTATATAGATTATTTTGTTTTATAACTCTTTGTAAAGGGTGTCAAGAGATTGTTCTCAGGAATTGTGGTCAAGAAATACATTTTGCTTTAGTCTGTAGGTTTAGTTTTGTTGACAACAAAACTAAATAGACTTAATTTCCGTTATTTGTAAAACAGAGACTTTATTATTCTATTCACGTAAAAGTCTAAATATGATGATTTTTACGTGGCCTTGCGTTAACTACAAGTGGTCCAGGACAACTGTCGTTTGTGTCTTTTTCTTTTCTTTTGTGCAATAAATTGTTAATAAATAAATTGTTGTTTTATAAACGACAGACAAGGCATAGGTTTCACTCGATGAAAGGTGATCTATCCTAGACATATTACAGCTTAACGTGATACGCTGTCGACGCTGTCGCTGTTTAAAATCCACAGACTGAAAACTGTGGACGGTGGTTTCATGACCCGGATGGAATTTCGATATTCCTTCCACCATATCCAGATTTCCGAAAAAGATGCCCGCTGGAAATCGAATCCATGACCCATTGATTATAAGCCATACATTGCTACCAACGGGCAAGCCAGTTTTGCTAAGACTTAATTTTGCCTTTAACTGAAAAATCGGAAAATTTATCGGTTCCAGTAATTTGCCCCACACCCCGCATTGGGCTACCAAAATATCACAATACTTTTTCTTATATTGTACAGGTGGTAAAAGGACAACCCCTTTTCGTCGTAATAGCTATGAAGATGGAGTATGTAGTGCGGTCTCCACGAGATGGCGTTGTTGCAAATGTCGCGTCTTTGAAACAAGGTGACGCTGTAGGCAAGGGCGCTGAAGTTGTAAAGTTACATGAAGAAAACCAAACTTTGTAATATTCTATTAAATATAAATGTTATATTTTTATAATTATATATATTGTTTAACAAACCAATTGTTTAAATTGTATATATGAAACTCTATGAATACCAAATTGATAAAGCCATTAAAATATGTTAAAGGTTTTATATTTGTTAAAAAAAAACAGCAGAATTCTAATCTTTCACTGTTCAATATAAAAATCGTATTACAGATGTTCAATACATTCTACAACATGGCTATTTTAAATAAAAACAAGTTTAAACGTAGTAGATTAAATAAATATTATAGTGTTACTGAAACAGTAATAACTAATAGTATCCCTAAAACAACTATAAACTAAATAGGTAATAAACTATGAACTAGCCAACGCGAAACAATAACCAGTGTTTCTCACCTCACATACCTTGAATTATCGAAAAACTTGTCGTTCTGCGGTTCTATTACGGCATTAGAACGGCCTACTTAAAATGTCACAGATATTCGTATCAAATAAATTGCAGATAACCGTTAGGATAAGATAACCGAAGAAACCTTGACAACTTCGCGCAAGGCTTGTGAAAGTTGTTTCCGTGTTACATTATATAAATTTACATACAAATCTAATAACCGTTCTTTAATTTGGAATTCACGTCAACCGGGGGCGTAGCTCAGATGGTAGAGCGCTCGCTTAGCATGCGAGAGGTACCGGGATCGATACCCGGCGCCTCCATTCTTTTTTTATTTTATTTTTATTAACCTTCTTTCACATGAAAAAGCAACAACACGCCGGTCATAAGCCCGACTTCCGCCCTAGTCATTGAATTTATTCAATGTAAAATATACAAATTATTCCATATAAATGAGATAGGTACAAAAATATACGCGTAGTATGAAGATAAAAGCTAGAAGAACAGAGAAGGTGGCACATAATTCCTCACTATGGGACTAAATATACTGGTTACATCTTCTTTGATAATCTTTGTAATTAGATACTGTCTATAGTTTACGCGAGAAGTACACATTTAAATAAAACACTTTAACGGTTTAAAAAGCGATATATTAGTTAAACTTATTTGAAAATTATTTTTAACTTCGGCCCGACGTTTCGGATGCTTTGCAGCAGCCGTGGTCTCCCCGTGACCACGTAATTATTTTTTCACTAAGTCATATCGTTTCCATGCCACGCGCTTGACCCATTAGTATTTTATTTTATCATATTGCGTGCGCAACTAATACAAAACGACCTGTTATCAAAATTATCGCGGTTTCTTTTCGCTGTGGTCCTTATCAGCTACCGAAGATACCGTGCGGCTATTTCCAACGACGCATTCTGTTACCGCTATTGCAAAGTAGGACTCTATTTGTGGAAGCCCGCCAGATAAGTTTCTTTTTTTATGTTATGCTCCTCCACGAGTGATGAAATATCTATTTTAAATTACACTTACAACGATTTTTTATTTGTATTATAAACGTAATAAGAACCGTTTGTAGTTTACGCGAGTAGTAAACGTTTATATAAATCACTTTAAAGGCGAAATATACTGTATATAAGTTAACGAATAAATTTCACGTTTTAAACCGTTAAAATTGTTTTATTTAAAACTAATTAGTATAGATTCTCGCCAAAATACGACAAATATGAAATTTGTTTTCTATCGCACTTTGATCAGAATCATGCTTAAGTTCGAAATTCAAATTGTTAAGTCTGTTAGCCGTTAAATTTGAATTAAGACGTTAAAGGTTAAACGTTAAAGCTGAGAGTTAACGAAGTCTTTAGGTTATCTCGCTAAAAGTGTATACTTTTACATCTGATGTTCTTCAAGTATGTTGCCGCTCAGATGTCTATCCATCTATACTGACTACAGACTGTAATCGTAGCTTTGTAGTGTGTACAGTCTGTAGATTTCCAAATATGAAAACCCAACAAAATACACGTTGACAGCGTATCTTGTCGAGATATTAAGTGAGTCTCATACTGGGGGAGTCTGTGATTTTGTTATGATATGGACCTACCATATCATAACAAAATCACAGACTCCCCCTCCTTAGTCCAAGAACACTCAACACCTTCGGAATTTGACATACTCATTGGTGTAATAGTACCACTGTATGGCTAATAATCGACAGACAGGTCGTCCATTTGATCCCCATCAGGTCCAACATTTTTGAAATCAATTTATAATTTATGTGGACTTTATTTGCGACCACAGATAAAAAAACCTAGTTACAGTAAAAGTTACAGTCTGTGGATAACTGAATATCCAACCCCAAAATAGGTCAATGCGCATCTTGCTTAGATGTCATATGGCTGGGGTAATTCATCTACCATCATGTGAATCCCATGGTTGTCTTCTCTATCATAAAAAAAAACACCTCCCAATAATGCAATTCGCGATGGTGAAGCGTCGGGAACTTTTCCAAGATGGCCGCGAACTTTGTTCGTTTATATCTAACTCTTCTCATCACACGGTAGTTCTGAAGTAAATAAAAACATCGCAAACTACCTATTGAGGTAAAAAAGAGTTAATAACTTCCTCTTATTAATATAATGAAGGTTAATTTTTGTATCTCTTCCTTATTTTCATTAGCCATTACCGAATGCTTTTTTCATTATAGTTATTAATAATTATTTCTGTAAGTGCCAAACATACCGTCAACTGCAACTAATTAGATTATAAGTCGCCGCGTCCTTAATTATATTTATAGAAATTCGTTTATTCAGAATTAACGTAATTTAAGTGGAATTACAAACAAAGCATTAAATCAAACAATACAAATATTTAAATAAAACATTTTAACGGTTTAAAACGCAATATATTAGTTAAACTTATTTGAAAATGATTTTTAAGTTCGGCCCGACGTTTCGGATGCTTTGCAGCAGCCGTGGTCACGGGGAGACGAAACGTCGGGCCGGAGTTAAAAATCATTTTCAAATAAGTTTAACTGATATATCGCGTTTTAAACCGTTAAAGTGTTTTATTTGAATAGAGTTGCTTTTAAAAAGGAGTCCAATATTAAGTACACATATATAATATGAATTATCAGTCACATACAATTAGACATGAATACAATAAAAAAACAAACAAATTAGAATCACAACAATAATCATGCGCAAGTAGTAACACAGTAGAGGGACACTAGAATATTAAAATCTATATAAAAACACCAATTTATAATATTGTTTTTAGTTCCTGCGTTATATCATGGTATGTTATTCTATAATAAAATCCAATGTTTTTGCTTACGTGTTTGTATATAATAATACCTTTAGACGTAGTGATTAGAAACTTGTGCTTTCAATTAATTATGTATACTAATATATAAAGCTGAAGAGTTTGTTTGTTTGTTTGAACGCGCGAATCTCAGAAACTACGGGTTCGAATTGAAAAATCTTCTTGTGTTGGTTAAAGCATTTATCGAGGAAGGCTATAAGGCTATAAAATCGCGATGTGACTAATAAAAGCGAAGATACAGCGGGAATGTGAACAAAACTGGGGAAATTTGTAATCTCTATGGGTTTCAGATGCGTACGCTGCGAAAACGGTTCAAGATAACTAAAAGACATCTATGAAAGAATGATCCCCCTTTAAATGATCTAAAAAAAAGTCCGCGACGCTATATGTCTATCTTTTAAGATTAACTTGCAAGAACGACGGTAAGGGACGCGATCGACGTCGTGGCTAACAGCTTAATTTTAAAGATGACGGGATTTGCAAAAACTAATTTGAATGCCCAAAATAACGATTCTCGCGAACGAAGTCGCTCGCATCGCTAGTTGATAATAAACACCATTAGATGCTAATCTTTAGTTTCATAGAAATAATTAATAATTATTAAGAATTGATAGAAACTGTAATTAGAGCACTGTAATAAGTATATTTTGTAATTTTCTAATTGATTGTCAGACGGGCTCGTTGGTCTAATGGCAACGTATGACTAATAAACTGGTCGTGGGTTCCCACCGGCTCAACAGGCTCCAGCTGTTTGTCCAAAACTCTTGTCTGGGAATTCTGGATATTAAATGGGTGGTAGGAATATCAATATTTCGTCCGATTCACGAACCACCGTCCACAGATGAAGATTTTGCGCTTCAGTTTTAGGCTTTGGATTTCCGAACATCCAAAGGCATAATGGGTCGACAGCGCAACCTGATAAGATGTTATATGGATGAGGTATTTCACCTTCCATGAAGTGAACCCTAAGCTATTCTGTCCTCCTCTATCACAAAACGCGAAGTAATGTATTTCGCGTTAACTTAATTACATTTTTTTCAACTAGGTACGGTCCGACGTTTTGCATGCTTTGCAGTGGCCACGGGGACTGTAATAAATGATAAATAAGTTAACTAATACATTTAATAACAACAATAGTAATATTTAAATAAAACACTTTAACGGTTTAAAACGCGATATATTAGTAAAACTTATTTGAAAATGATTTTTAACCTCGGCCCGACGTTTCGGATGCTTTGCAGCAGCCGTGGTCACGGGGAGACTAATATATCGCGTTTTAAACCGTTAAAATGTTTTATTTAAATGTGTACTACTCGCGTAAACTATAGACAGTATTTAACAATAGTAATAATTAATTTATCAAACCGTTGATCAATTTTATAATCTAATTACTGTTAGCTGGGTTAGTGACAACTAAACTTGAGACTTGAAGAGACTTGTATGTAGCCTTTTAAACCGTTAAAATTGTTTTATTTAAACACATAAGTGATATTAAAAGTGAAAGAACCCTGAACGTGTTCTACATAATTTTATTATTGTAATAAAACGTGATTAATTTACGAACGTGATTTGTTTTAAATTTTAAAATAATTATTGCAGAATAATATATTATAACTAACGACCGTAAACACGACTTGTGATAGTAATAATATTATTTATTACTATAAGATTGTTACGGTCTCGACGTGTCGAAATGGTGAAGCCGTGAAGTTTAATCGCATTTCGGTGGCAGTCTGTGGATTTTCGAAAGCCAAAATAGGTCGACATCTCTTGTTCGGATGTTATATGGCGGATGGTATTTCACCTTCCATCTCCATCATAAAAATTGACTTCATATTATATGTTGAATCAATGTTGATATAGAACATAGCTCTATATTATGTTTGCCGATCATCTCAATAACTCAATAATCAAACGCACTGCCTTGCATTGTATTACATTACACCTGGTTCTGAATTCCGAGAGAGTCGATGTATTGTTTCGGCCAGGCAGGGCACATAAGACTAAGCAACTACCTGTCTGTAAAAAAAATATCACTGAAACAGACACGGAAATGTGTTCGCCTTCAGACGAACTTTCGTTTTTGTCTTTAATTCGTCGTCTTTGTAATTAAAAGTCAGGAGTTGAACGCTTTAGTTTTACTATTAAGCTACAAAACGAGAACGAAGGAGATGTTCAATGTTGCTCCATTATACGTTGTGTTATCGACTTAACATCTAGTAAAGCTGGAACCAATCTTGCCTGGCAGGATTCGTCCCTATATGGTGTACTTATTATGCTTGTGTGTCCACCTCGATCATAAAAATATATAGATACTAGCTAGTGCCCGCGTCTTCATCTACGCAGGATTAGGTTTAGGATTACGTAGTATCGCAAACTAAATGATGTCTATCATATATTACATAACTATGTGTAACTAACCTTTATGGCAGCGCACGCCAGAATAGCGCGCAGAAAGGTAGTTTCTTTCCTAGTTACTTGACACTTAATGTCATATTTTTGACAGCTCACAAAATATCTTTATGTGTTATTCTGATGTATTAGCTATATTATTGGAAATTTTAATTTGAAATCCATTCAGTAGTTCTTGCGTTAAATTGTAACAAACATCCTTTCACACATACACACTTTCACGTTTATAATATTAGTAGGATAATAAGATAATAGACTACAATAGGTCGGCCTGTATATTACAGAGCCTATTTATTTTTAATTACGCGAACCCCTTATCTGTTCGCAGTTCATTACAAAATTAAAAACAATTTTTCGTTCGTAGAGTCCGTCCTACACTACGATGTATCATTGAATTTGTGCGTAGATGTAACCAGAGCGCTTTAATAGCGTTGCATAAGTGGGGTGCATCTGCTTGACATTTGAATTGACCCAAAATCCGAATAGATCTATGTCATATAGCCGGCGTATGTACAGGCTCGCATCGGCGCGTTGAGCAATCCCGTTAGCGTTTCCACTCCACGTGCGAACCGAACCGGTGCGGCGCACCTCAATGTCGCTCGTGGGCGGCTATCCGCTGAAAATAGCGAGCGGACCCGAACGAACGCCGGGTCGCATCCGACGTTAACCGACATCGAACCACCTTCTCCGTTCCGCACGTGCGCTCCGCTATCCTCCATCTCGCTCCCACAAACAGCTGAGTATCAAAACAAAGAAACGAGACGGGCGGTCGCCGCTCCCGCTCGCCGGCCGGCCGGTGTCGCTCCGACGTCAGTTCTCGCTAGAACCGTGTCTATCGTGGTTGTCTCCTGCGCGCGTACGTGCAAAGTTTATTGCCGCGAAAGGATTTTCCTTTGTCCCGATCCAAACGGATCCCGTCTTCGTATTATGAGTCCGCGTGTGAGCGTACACTCTCGGCCTATTGAGGAGCCGGATGTAAAAAGTGCGAATCCACGTCGAAGTTCTCACAACTTACCGAAGTTTTGTGACGGATACCCCGCGAAACGCGTGCGCCGGGCAATTTGAAATACTTGAAGTTCTTGTGCTGTGAGGACCGGCTTGAGACTGTTTGTTTATTGTGAGGATATTTGTGAATCTGCTACTATGTCGACCGGTAAACGGCTCGCGAAGCGTTCCATCATCGGAACTCGGGTGGCCGCTCTGGGCGACGATGGACTGTATTATTCGGGGATGATTCAGGCTGTAAAAACGCCAGCGCCGTTTCCTGAGAACAATAACTGCATCAACCTGACCCCCAACACCAGATACACTGTCCGTTTTGACGGTGTAAAGATGACGAGGGAGTATAGAGACGCTGAACTCATCGGCCCTGGATTCAGAGGTTTGACTGGTGTGCGTTTGAAGCCAAGTCAAAGGGTTTTCCTCACTTACAACGGACGGGAGGTCCGGGCAGATGTGCTGGAACATGATCATGACTCTGATGAACTCCGAGTTCAGGTGCATTCACCTTCAGCTGAGGTTTGTATTTTTTTTACTTTAGTCTTTATGTGATGGCCTCGTCTGAACTCTACGAAAAGACATCAACGGCCGCGACGTCCTGGAATGTCATATTTCTGTAACGTTGTTCCAGTGCAAAGTCTTCGTATCGTGGGTTCGAATTCCACCAAATCTAGCTTAATAAATATGGTGCTTAACCGATCCACCATCTATAGAGAAATAGGCAAAGTAACAAAGAAATGCAACAGCGTTGAAGGACGTAGAGTACCACCATGTCATCATTGCATCGAAGACGTAATACGCGTAGACAAAGGTTTGACGTGGCGGGGCAGGGAGGGCGTGAGGTATTGACCTCCACTGCACGTGGGATTAAGGACATGTACTCCAAATGGCCCAAAGATTGAACGCCCTTACAAAAAACAAAAAAACAACAGTAAAGCGATTTAATTGTTTATTGTTTTCGCTTTTTACTCCATGTAGATACGATAGAGCAGGTAAATTAAAAGTACTGTAAACAAGTTCTTATGGTTTTCCCATCTATCATAACTACACAAGGGCACATAACAAAACAATTATTAATTTTAATCGTAAATATATCGTATAAAGATATATTGTATGTTAGGTTGCCTGTAAGAGATCTCGTTAGCGATAAGGTCGCCATTGCACTGCATTCTAGTATATATACGTTTTCATTGTGTATCATTATTATTTTTTGTACAATAAAAAATGAATAAATAATTACATATATATGTAGACTATAGTTTTTAGCTACCGAATTACATATCGTTACCGAACGTCGCTTAATTAAGTAACTTTTCGCTTTTTTCGAACTACGTTATCGTTTATCGTTGGCTCCTTGCCTTAGTATCTTGGTCTTTGGAGTACAGAGGATTACAAACGGTCAACACTACTTAGCGCTTCTTACCCACCTGTAGTTGCATAATACGATTATCTAACGAACCGGTAACTAACGATGCAACACAACGACTTATTAGAACAGACTTATTTATGAGTCTGTGTATTGTTTCGACTGCCGTGGCTCAGTGGTTGGAATACCGGAGAATATCATTTTACGGTTAAAATGCGAAATATATTATTACCTTGTAGCTGTGGTCACGGGGGACTCGCTGGAAACCATCCGAAACGTCGGGCCGGGAAAATAAATTAAGAACACGTTAATTAATAAAAGTCACGTTTTAAGCGGTTAAAATCGTTTTATTTTAATCATCTGATGTCGCAGGGGACTCACTGCAAAGCTACCGATACGTTAGTCTCTTTATTTTCTATTTCGCTTTTTAAACCGTTAATTTTTTTTTTATCCCTCTTTTTTTTTCTCGTTTTTTTAGTACTACTCGCGTACTACACGGAATACTTGATAAGAACAGATTTCGTACGAACAGGACATTTCACAGAATATAAATACGTAACTTGTTTACAAAAAATCAATTATGTCTATTGGAAAGAACTGCGTACGCGCTATTTTCCTGTGGTACAGATAATTTATTTGTGTTATGGACAAACACCACTAGTGTTCCGGCGTCATACACTGCGTCATTGATCGTATCGTGTTTACTAACAAGTGTGATATAATTGTTTTTCGGTTTTTATACGTATCTATATGTAAAAGTCTTCAAATTACTAGACTAATAGACCATTTAAATAAAACAATTTAACGGTTTAAAACGCGATATATATTCGTTAAACTTATTTGAAAATTATTTTAATTAAGGCCAGGCGTTTTGGATGCTTTGCTACAGCTGTGTCACGGTGAGACGGATGCTGCTGTCAAAAATAGTCTGTAACCAAGTTTAACTAATATATATCGCGTTTTAAACCGTTACGGTGTATTTTTAAAATGTGCACTACTCACGTAAACTATAGACAGTGACTAATAGACCAATCGACCACGCCATTAATTTTAAACGAGAAAAAATAATTTTAAATTTAGAAGCGGAAGCCTCTCGTGACCAAGAAGTCTGAAAACACCCTAAACGACGAGTTTGCGAATAAATATATTTCGCGTTTTACGCCGTTCCAATGGTTTTATTTGAGAATTATTTTATCATTATGAGCCAATGCGGTGCTACAGTGGTAATGTTTGATTAGATACGCATGTCCATTGCATGTATCTTGCGCATTCACACGTGTAGCAACAAAACCCCGATAAGATTAATTATAATTACGACACTGCTTGTCTGTACAGCACGTTCTAAATATTGTCAAACATTTCCATAACACGACGTTTATCCGTACATATTAACCGTAATTCGGTTTACGTTCGGAATCAAAATAAAATCTTCGGTTTTCATCACATTTTAGGTTTCTTTTTACTATTACCAGACCGGCTGACTAAAGCCATTAATTTTCATTTCTCCTTTTATTTATTAAATTAGGAAGTACACAGAATTCCTATTGTTATTACTTAAACAAAATTTTTAATTGATATTGACATTGAAAGAGTTTGATATTGTTTAAAATTCATAGTATTTTAATTTTCTCAGAAGTGCACCTAAAAAATTTAAAACAAACTTAGAACTTAGTAATAAATAATAGCTCTACAAAAATACAATGATTGACAACCTTAAGAATATGATATGTGGTAAACTCTGTTGATTGTAGTCTATATAAAAAACCTTCAAAACAGATAAAAACCGATATTCTACTACACAAGCCGAACTTCGGTTTCGGTTTAACTCTCATAGCACATTTCTAGTCCGAACAAACTTATTAATATTATGGACAAAGCCAGGTAACACGCATGTGGCAAATAGGTCGTTTGGAGACCGTTAACGCGACGCCCGCGCCGTACGCACCAAGATGGAATTTCAATTTCTCCTGCGTGACGTGACGTTAGAGTTGAAAACACTTTGAATTAACTGCGCATGCGCAAACAAAGATATTTATCAAGCATTGTCTGTAGTTTACGCGAGTATACAATGAAACACTCTCAACGGTTTTAACTTTTAACACAAAATTAGTTACTTAATTTCTATCTATGACGCGAAGATTCAGGCTTTCTCATATTTAACTATACAATATTTTGATTGGCTTATCGAGATCAATGTGAATTATTTTTTATTATAAACGTCTCCAAATTCTGGAACCACAATACACCGGTGTGAAAGCCATGAAGTGTAAATGGGAGTATTGTATTCGATCTTTGAATTTCAAAGCCAAGATAAGTCGGCAGCACATTTTAATTAATTTTTTCTCACTTATAATATTCTATCTGTACTATAAAATATTTATATCGAATTTACTATATGTAGTCTCTGTCTACTTAATTAAACGGTTTGTGTAGAAAAATTTAGTGACTGCGCAAACGCCGCTCTACATTCGGCCATTATCGCGACCACAAATTACATTAACCACAATTTGTTAGTAATTTCTCGTTTTGAACAAAACACCAGATAGCTGATGGCTATTTGAGGTGACTGACTTTGATAATAATTACTCAAAGCTGACGTCAATAACGGTACAGATTTTTTTTTATATGGTAAAACAAGTATTTTAATGTAATTTTTATATTATTAGTTACCATTAAACATGGAATCACAGGTTTTGTTAGCTTTGATTGTCTTTCATAGAAAGCTTTACCTTCTCTAAATACAAAGGTAAGTCAAGAAGAGTTATTTTGGTCGAGTTCTGGTTCACTTGATTTAGGTTATAGAAAAAATACTAGTAAAATATAGATTTCGTCGTTTCAAAATTACAACGTGACTTCATCTTTGTGTATAGAGTTCCTAAAGATGTATGTAGTTTGCGAGAAAAGTCTTACTTTCGACCTTACCGCTCCATTCACGCCAGTTCATTGTCATTACAGAACGAGTGACAGAATAGCTCATTAAGCTAAGTCAACAATGTTAAATCAAAGTCAATGTCGATATTTGCTTGCCAGATAACAAACGTATCTTAAACTCTGTGAAAAACAAAAGTGAATCGCGCGGAAGTCGTAATGTTTAGATTATATACATTTGCGCACGGCGATGTATTTACTAGTATAATACAAAGATACCGGAGGTTAATTGAGAGCTCTGATTTGCAATCGTATTGCGTGTAAATAGGCCGACAACGCATCTCGTCATCTATACGTATTTCACGTTGCATCAAATGTACCTACCCAATGCTTATCTGTTATAAAAAGCGTGTTTATCTATCCTCCTCTGTCAAAGACAAATAAGATTTTCTAAAGTCTAAATAGGTCATAAAAACGCCTATTTATTTGTCCTCCTTTTAGAAACATCTTCTTCAGATTCTTCGATATCTAGAGTTATATATCATTGCTACGACGCCAATATATGACCGGTACATGAGAACTTTGCTTCGTACAACGTACTGCGTTTAAGAGGAAATAATCTAGTGACGCGGTATTCCCCGCCGTAGCAGATACGTCTCTCAGCGTCACTCTATAATTACGACGCTTCACTGGCAAATCCACTACAACAAAAACATTCTGACTCATATATCCATGGTATTGCGTAGATTATAAACCAATATGATGTTTTTATGACAGGGGGGGGGGGGAGGTCGGTGTTTAGACTTGCAGCACATAAGCACATAAATTATTGTAATTAATTTTGCGCATATAGGGACAGAAAAAGCGGCTTTATTAACTTTATTAATACGTTACGTTTTTAGGTTATAAAGTAAAGTAAATATAATTAAAAAGTGCTGTCCACTTATTTTGGTTTAGTATTTATCTCAACATTTCCGCGAATGTCAATTAAGTACTTTTATTATAGCGTATTAAAGTTCAACATTGAAGTAATAAATCTTATGTTTAACGATTAAGCATAAAAAGATATTGTAAGAAATAAGTGCGCGGAATAAGGTCAGTGGCAGGCCCGGAACAGCGTAACGGTATCGGTTACAAAATCGCGTCAAGAATTATTTTCACGTGCGCCGGCGCCGGCCGGACCGTTAGCTGTGGCGTTGTTGGCCCTGGCCAAGCTCTGGCATCTATAAGCTCATCTTAAATGTACCGCGCAATCAACGAATCCTCGATTTAATAAAGCAGCTTT